CTGCCATCAGCTGTCATTTATTCCTCTCTTCATGTTCACTTGGTAGCGCGGGGAGCAGCTGTCTGTCCCTCGTCACAGGAAGCCAGGGGTAAAAGAAATTGCTAGCAGATGGGTCAAGTAGATGGTCCCTCCAAGCATCACAGTCTATTCTAAAAGCACAGGCTATACTGCCTTTTACAGTGGACAAAGCCACTTTCTGCATCCTGCTATTCTCCTCTACACCTGATACCTCCTGGGATATGAACCTATTCTATTACAACTACTAACAGATGTAAATGCAAAGTCAACTTACACACTGACTCTAGCACACAGACCTACTAAGTGCTACGTGAGGGAAGAAACAAATGGTCCTGCAATTTTTTCCTTATCACTCTCCAGTGCCAATGATGTGTCATCATCATCATCCTAAGTATTCCATATGTGCCTGCTAATCCCTAGGAAAAGTAGATCTGACTAGAAAAAAAAAGGTACATATGCAAAGAAAAGAGAATGAAAGAAACTGATCATGAGCTTAGGAATTCCCCTAGGATAGTGAGGATGCTGTGCAATGATTCTCTAACCATACACAGAGATAACAAATGAACAACAGGGAGAGAATGAAGAGAGCAAAATGAATTGAAGGTCCAGCATGTCAAAAGGATCAGTGAGGTTTCTGAAGGAAAACCAACTGGAACTACAGACTACCTGGTGAACCTTATCTCAGGATCAGAGAAATTTGTTTTTGCAGAGAACAAATGCAGGCAAGGACCAATGAAAACATGCTAAGAAGAGGCATTAAATGACAGCCATTTCCTTTCTACCCCCTTGAGGATATTCCTAACCCATTCAAAATGAGTATCATGACAAGGACCCTATAAGTGTTGGGGTGTTTACAATGCTAATATCTACCGAACTATCAAGGGTATATCATTCCCTATGGCCTTAAAAGAACAAGTGCCCCCCTATGGAAGATTAGTGGGTATAAGATGCACATTTGAAATCCACAGAACCACCATAACTTGCCAATCTCTCAGCCATGGTATTTACTTTTGGAGAATATAGGAAGCTGGCTATAATACAAGTAACTAGAAAGCAGGACGGTAAAATTTATATTCCACTTTTCCAATGCTCAGATCTGAAGGCTATGCAGTGGGAATACTTTCAGTGCTAGTCATATGAGGTTTGTTCTGCTGAACAGTGGCAGTATTTCTTTAAAAACCATGCCTTAAGGTCTTACCCAGGGACAGCAGAGCCCCCTCTTACACTTAAACTTGCACTCCAGAGACAGCCAGCTGGTGATCTGATTGCAGAGACAGACAGTACAGAAGGGGACCTAATTCTTGATCACATTGATTTCTCATGTCCAGCCTCAGTTCACAAGAGAGTAAGTGGTATCTATGGCCACAGAAACTAATTTACTGGACAATTAGAGTCAATGTATTATTGGGTCAGGTTTGCCCTCCCTGTGAAGAAAAGCCTGAAAAGACAAAGCAAGATGTTCAAGTAACCCAACCCCCTCTTATCCTAGCTAGGGATGGATGTAGCTTGGACCACGTGCCCAGCTGCAGATTAAGCCCTTGCCCAAAGATGGGCAGCAGCTCAGAGAGCCGGCAACAGGCCATTTGCTGCAGCATCCAAAGGGAAAACAGACTCGGCATCTCAAGCAAATGAGGCCCAGCACTTCCTGTGTGAGTTTTCCATTTCCTCAGCCAAACAAAAGCCAAAAGGATGAGAAAGGGAGGAGGGATGAAGGGATAAGTGCTGTGGAAGAATTAACAGACCTGATGGCTCAGGATATGGGTGGATCGTATCTGAGGAACCTGTGGCTGTGAGGTGAGGTGACCCAGGAAGGGCCAAGCTCCAGGGACAGATGCTCTGCTTCCCCATTCCCAAGAGGAAGGAAGGACTACTCAGTGGCTCCTGTACATACTCAGAAGCAGTGTCTTAGATACCTCGAGAGCAGAGCCCTTTCCTAGCATTTTCTTCCCCAAACTGCAGTTGCCTAGTCTGTATTACACATTAATAACCTGAGGCTGTACATTTTAACTCTTTGGACATCACTGCTGGGAAACAACTGTCCCCTATTCAGCAGGTCTATCAGTTCCTCTGCCTGGCTCCGTTACTCAACTCAAGTACTCATTCCCAGCTCATGAGGCCTCAGCTTGGAGTGCATTTTGGAAACGTAGAGAGCTCACAGGAAGGGTGCAACTGTCCAATACTGTGAGCCCTGCTCACACAGTTATAGAGCTAGAACTGGGGAGACTGGTAATAACAGTCCAGAACTACCCCTTGGGGTGAGGAGTAAGGAGAAAATTTGGAGGGAAAGAGAGGGGAAGAGTCAAAACTACATAGCTCACATAGAGAGACCAATAACTGCTAATCAGAAATCTCTGCTGCACTTTTCCTCTGTGGGTTACTCATGAGTCTAGGAGATACACACAGCTGGTCATCAACCCAGAAAAACTTCCCTCTTTACTCCTGTTCCCTAGCAGCACCAAGGTCTCCATACTTTGTCCGCCACTATTTTCCCACTCTCAGAGAAGAGCCCTGGAGGTAAATGATGAGGTAACTGCGTATGAATGCTTGCTCTGAAATAGTATGTACACTATGCACTGAATCTGAAGGAACGAGATCGGGTGCATTCAGGGTGGTATGGTGGTAGACTGAAGGAACTTTTAGAGCACATATTCACCAGAGACTACAAAGCAAAGAATGTGTGTATGGAAAGTAGAGGAAGAGAGAAAGAAGAAACAGAAGAGGGTGGGGCAGAAAGAAAGGAAGTGACAGAAAGGTAGAAGTGAGAGGAAAGGAATGTAAGAGAACAGAGAGCATAGCTAACAGAGGTAAAGCCTATGTGAACATATGTATATGTTCAGACACTATAGCACAAACATGAACACAGAAAAATGGGATGCAAGATCAGAAGTCAGCAAACCTTTTCTGTAATTAGTTGGTGAGTTAATATTTTAGGTTTTGTAGGTCATATGGTCTCTGTGGCAACTACTCAACTCTGCAGTTCTAGTGTGAAACCAGCCACAGATCAACTGTACATTAGCATGGTTGTGTTCCCATATAACACTACAGACACTGAAATATGACTTTCATATAATTTTCACAAGTCATGGATAGTATTCTTTTGGTTTTTCTCAACCATTTAAAAATGTATCATTTACTGAGCCCTGCTATAGATACACAAACAACCAGTAAAGGCAGACAACTGAGACAGGCCCACAGGCAGGCCCACATACATAGAATACCCCTCAATGACAGAGCCAGACTGACACACAGAGACAATCAAACCAACATGGTTGCTGACCAACATGGACACAGACACAAAATTCAGGAACATACACAAGTATTACATTCTCATGAGAACTAGTCAACACATAGAAAAGGATGGGATCAAAGACACAGACTGATATGGACCCAGACATTGAAACAGAGCCCTATGGGGAGATATGAAGCTTGAAGAGAGATAGAATACAGAGAGACATAGAAGACATAGAAGCAAATGGGCACAGATTCAGATAGGGCCATAACACAAATGGATACAACACACATAGCTACAGATGGAGCACACAGACACATGTATGAGGTGTGGTCAGAAAATATGATGAATTTTTTTATTACACCAAAAAATATAATCTTTTGTGATTATCTTTAGTTGCACTGTTGTGGCTGCCTCTAAGTCCTGAATTGATTTAAAGCATTTACCTTTGATAGTCATTTTGATTTTGGGGAAGAGCCAAAGGTTACACACAGTGATAGATCCATTGAGTAAGGTGGATACACACCGTAATGTTTTCAAAGCCTGTCTTGCAGTTGAATGGGACTCACCAGCAGCATTCAATATGTTTTTTATCACACCTCTTGAAGACGCTGACAAAACAGGACTTCTAGAACTGCTTCAGAAAGTGGTGAGGATGCTGTCCTAAGCATGTTCAAAGAGGGAAGACTATCTTAAGGGGTATTAATAGCAATGTATCTTCTCATAATAAATCCTTAAAAAAAATGTAAACATTCACTATATATTCTGATCACACCTTGTATACAAACAGCCAAGGATAGGCACACTGAAAGGTCTCTAGATAGACAACCCTGCAGAGACACAACACACAGACCTTCACACTCACCACAGATAGACACTAAGACACAAAGGCTCATAGATACACAAAGACAATGGACTCAGGCAGACAGAGTCAAACACAACCCAGATCCAGAACCAGACCCAGACCAGTACCAAGAAATAGCCACACCTGGTTGCACTGTGAATGTAAACACTGTGAATGTAATTTATACTATTTATGTATAATATGTAATTACACTGAATCATGCACATAAAAATAGGATGGCAAATTTGGTTATGATTTACCACCACTTAAGAAGAGAACAAAAAAACCCCATAAAAACAGATCTATGTGGACCATCCAGGCAGAGGCACACACTCCTATACAATGCACCCTTCTGACTCTGACAGAGAAGGAGGCAGGGGCAGGGGCAAGGTAAGGAGACAGCAAATGAGTGAGTGAGGAGAGGTGTGTACACATTTATCCTTCTCACACACTAAATGTCATGAGAGGAGGCAAGGAGATCTACGGAAGATCGCACAAGCAGAAGTGAGACCACTGAAAGATACAGAGAAAAAAAAACTAACGGAGATAAAGAGACAAAGTCTCTTACACACTGATTGACAAACATCCATACTTCAGAAGCAGCTGCAGAGATGGTGAGTATGAGGAATGATACAGCAAGAACAAGACAACACAACAGAGAGCAAACTATAGCGCAAAGGAAAGAGAGAGCTCAAAGAGAACAGGACTAGCAAGTAGGCCAAAATAATGTAAAACATCAGATGACAAAGGTGTTACAAAGGAGGGAAAACCAAAATTCAAATGAGGAGGGAACAGGGAAACATGTGGGCTGTGGGTGAGAAGAAGTGAAAAACAGGACAGGGAAGGGAGCTGCATGAGCATAGGTAGGCCAAGGTCGGTAGCATCAGAGGAACAGGCAGAACAACTCACTGTGATGGCAGATCCAGAGATGTGGGTGGAGGATTCCAGGTGTCTGGGTAGCCGAGCATCCAATCTGACCATACTTTCACACTGGGGAGCAGTTCCTTCAGGTCCGGGATAAAGGAAGATACCTTGATGTCATCTTGGTCATCCTGGTCCTCAGGAGAGGACTGCTGAGCTGCAGAGGCAAAGGGTGAGAACTGGGCCTACGGCTGTTGTGGCCTCCGAATGAGGCCTGGGGTGGTGGGACAGCAGCAAGCTCTTAGGGAAGGGAGACCAAGTCCACAGGAGAGCTGGACCCAGAAGCGAGGACAAATGCCAGCAACTAAGAGGATTCTGAAAAGTAGGACAAAGAGAGAACCAGTGTACTGGGTCTGCCCCCGGAGATGGCATTTTTACTTTACCTGTGGCCTGGCTGAAGCCCCTACTCTGGTCTATAGCCCAACCTTTTAGCTGTCTTTCAGCACAGAGTTCCTGCCAAAATTGTATAACCTGAATTTAATCACAAAGAAAGATCAGACAAACCCAAATTATGGGACATTCTACAAAATAAATGGCTTCTACTCTCGAAAGTGTCAAGATAGTAAAGGACAAAAAACTGAGAAATCATTCCAGATTAAAGGAAACCAAAGATATATGGTATCTAAATGCAATGTCTGATCTTGAATTGGGTCCTAGAACAGAAAAAAAAAAATTGTTGTTGTTATTTATTTATTTGGTACCAGGAATCGAACTCATGACCTTAGACTTGCCAGGCAAGCGCTTATGCTACTGAGCTATATCCCCGGCCCTGTTGTTTTTTATAGGAATATTACTTGATGGGTCTGGGAGTATAACTTACTAGTAGAATGCCTGTCTTAGTGCCTGCCTGCCTACATGAGGCCTTACGTCCAATCCTCATCACTACATAAAAGGAGGGGAGAAAGATTATTATTAGAGCCTGGTGTGGTGATGCATGCTTGTAATCTGAGCATTCTGGGAGGTGGAGGCAGGATGACTCCAAATTTAAGCTCAACTGGACAATTTAGTGAGACTGTCTCAAAATGAAAAATTAAAAAAGGGGTAGGGATGCAGCTCAGTGCAAAGCCCTGGGTTCAATCCCCAATCCAATCAATCAACCAATCAATCAGCACAATTGATACAAATTGAATAAAGCCTGTAGATTTAATAATAGTACTATGTCAATGTTAATTTCTTTTTTTTTCAATGTTAATTTTTTGATTTTGGTAACTTTAAGAGAATGACCTTGTTATTAGGGAAATACAAAGTATTTTACAGTACCATATCTGCAACTTAAAATTAAATGGTTTAGAACAATGTGTGTGTGTGTGTGTGTGTGTGTGTGTGTGTGTGAGAAAGGTGAGCTTAAAGCCATATGGTAAAATATTAACTACCTAAAGAATCGGGATGAAGGGTATATAAATGTTCTTTGCATCATTCTTACAACTATTCTGCAAATCTGCAACTGTTTCAAAGTTTCAAGTTGCTCCTCCCTGGCCCTGAACAAAAGCCCCACAGGCTAGAAACCTTCACAAAGCTAGTGTGCCAGTGTGATGCAGGGGTCTCACTACATAGCAGTAGTACTGATAAAGGAGCAGAGCAGATGATAACCTTCAGCTTTACACAGTTCAACAATTAGGCCTAGCATTCTAAGGCCATCTTAAAGGATATGACACAATAACTTCAACCCAAGGGCTGAAATAGTGCCTGCTCTGGTGCAGTGAGCCTCCCAAAATGGCTGACCCACAGGGGTTACAGCACCCCCCAGATACTGAAAAGGGACACAGAAATAAAGGGGATAAAACAAAACATCAATTATGAACAAAAAGTGGAACTCATTTGATCCCCAGTACCACCAAAAAAAAGCAAAAAAAGCAGAAAAGGCAAAGAAACACAAAGAATTGCCCCCACGAAAAAAACCCTCAGTTTTCTTTTGTCTTTTTAAAAAGACATAGCAGCTCTTAAGTATAGCTCCTAGCTACTAAAGGAGGAAGGAGGGAGGGAACTGATCCACAAGGAGTACAGAGGGCCAGAGACATCATCAGACTGCAGACAGAGAGGGGACTAGGTAAGGTGGCAAAAGGAAGAGGTGGATAATAGGAGGAGGAAGGCTGACAAGTACAGGAAGAAGACACTGAGAAGGCAACCCGGCACTCTGAGGCTCTTCTTGGATAGGGCTGGACAGCTGGAAAGCATGCTAGCTAAATGCCCCTCTTGCTTACCTTTGGCAGACTCCTTAAGTAGGCAGGTGCAGCGCCGCACCAGTAGAGAAAACATGGCAAGGCCGAGGGCCGCAGCTTGCTCCTGGATCACAGAGCGACACTCCTCTGAAAAGCAATCTAAGGAGAGGCAAAGGAACCCTGATCAGTGACCTGGAGGCTGATGGGTACTTCCCTGCCTTAGGACACTTGGTTCCTTAGCCATATTTCCAAATTTCCTTTTCCTTATCTGACCATGAGTAGCAACAATTCCCTCTCTCAAAGTAGGATTACAAAGCAATGGAAGATAATATAAGTGAAGCACTTACCAGCATGCCCAGTACAAGGACAAGCTCTTGGGAATACCGATAAACATCACCTGTGTAAGTTTTATAACACTTCCCCAGAACCCAGTACTTCAAGCTGGGTAATGTGAGCTGGAGCTGCAGGATCTCTGCCTTCAGTTGGTTACTGATAATGTAAAGGTATAGTAACAAGAACTTAGCTCATGAGCCCAGTCTCTAATGTATAGCCAGCAGGAGCACAATCACTAGATTTAAAAACTACCTTCCAGAAAAAAGAAGGAAGAAGGAAGGAGGAAAAGGAGGAGGAGAAGGAGAGGAAGAACAAGAGGAGGAGGAAGAAATCTTCTAAATCAAACTTTGGTTCCATATCTAACTCCTCTATGTTCCTCCAAGACAATACACATGACACAATGAACCTATTTTTTTTTTTACTGCATGAGCTAATTTTACATACAACACTTCTTAGCACATAATACTCAACGTACTTATTCAGTGCTTTTAGTTTTATTTTTTCCTACAGCTAAAAACCAAATCTGGTTCCCAGTACCAGTAGTTTTTCAGCCTAGCTAACTTCTTTCTGGCTGCAGTCACCGAAAGGAACAATTTTGTTGGTAAACAGAGTTAGTGTTTGGTGAGAGCTTGTCACACACTCTCATATCCCTGTCAGGCCAGGGATATAGCTTAGTGGCACAAGCACCTGCTTGGCAAGTGCAAGGTTCTGAGTTCATTTCTCAGTACAAAAAAAAAAAAAAAGGAGCTCATATCCCTGTCTATACCTACTCATTGTCAGTGCCCTCCTCAATGTGTGGCTCAACTACCTCAGTAGCATTTCATACAGACTGGAAAGGATCTGGTGAAAAGAGAAGGCAGCAGTTCAACCTGTAGCCTCATGAAAGGAGACACCCAATACCTATGGGAGATGGACACAAAGACCAAGCTCACGAGCTCTGGCAGCAGCTAATCTGTTAATTCCCTCCATAACACAGAACTCAGAATCTTCAAGTGTTAAAAGTATAATTAGCCACAGGTTTGACCTCAGTTTCTACCTGCATTTTAACTTCTGTCAGCCTGCTAGTCTTGTCAAAGGACCTAATTAAATTTGCTACTATAGGAGATGCTACACAACCACAGCTCTTCCTAACAGCCTTTGCCACAGGAGCAAGTATGACTGGAGTGTACAAAGCCTGCCCCAAACTGCTTTCAAAGTTCTGTAAGGAACAGAATGCTGCTCCAAAGGACCCAACACACAAATAACAGTGGATCAATACTTCCATGTGGTTTTCCAGCCACCCTTACAAATGCCCACTGGTACAAAATGTTACCCTCTCACTTTCCAATTCAACTGTGGTAGGCAGTAAGAAGTGGTAACAATTTATGAATTTGAACAGATCACAACTCTTAGTCTTCTCCAGAGGCCATAAATCTCACTAAACAAAAAGAAAATAAGTATCCAAGAATGAAGAAGAAGGATAAGAACATGGAAGGGAAGAGACAGAAGCTGTCCCAAGAAAGTTTGCCAACTTCTCTCCCTCCAAATGCCACAGGCACCACTACTGTCAGTTCCAACCCAGGTTGGTCCAGACCCCTCCATAACAATGCCAGCAGCCTGCCTCTAATTAGCAACAAAGCCTGCAATGAAGGAGTAAGTCCAGGAAAGAGGAAGATGGGATATACCTAGGGGAGACTGCATCCTGGTAGTTAAAAGCCTGAATAAACATTAGTGAACCCTCATTCACCTGGGCAGAGAAGTTACCTGTACACAGAAGGCTAGAAGGGATGAGGCAGGTATCTTTGCTCCAAGAGACTGGATATGGCAAGACACTCTCAACACCCTGGATAACAGTGAGATATGGCAGAAAAAGATTACTTTCACCAAGCCCATTTCCATTCTTATGACAAACAGTAATCTCAGACTAGACTGTCTCTCAGAGTTCAAGATGAGGGGCTAGGATTCAAGGGGGAGAAGGAACTGCTTCAGGACAATGTTATCTATAGCCTCTAGGGAGTCCAGGTTGGCTGTGTAAGGTATGGTACCAGGTAGAGTAGCAACACCAGGGACCTCTTTGCTGCACTGCCTATGAGGGCTCAACTAACTCTTACAGCAGCAACTAGAAGCCAGCTTCATGACTGCTCTTCATAGTCAGCACTTTCTAGAAGGCCTGTTCTGCTCCATGTCTCACTGGTATGATGTGTTAGACACTGTGAATAACATAGCTACAAATAAATTATGGTCCCTGCAATTGGAGGACCTTTCAATAGGCTGAAGAAAAATCATTATTTACCCAAGCAACCATGTCAACTTGAATCCGTAAACCGAAATAACATGTTACTAGCTCTTGGTCTCATAGGCTTCTGTAGGCCATAGGGTGCCTCTCCTTGAGTATATTTACCCTTATATAAATGGGTTGGAAAACAGCACTAGACTCCTACAGTCCACCCACTTTGGGGTTAGACTTAAGAAACGGACGCTAGTCTGATGAACACCTTGGAGTAGGGCTGGACCAGGCCAACAAATGATGTGGGGTGGGGAGGAAAAGGTATTGTTTGCCTTGGTATTTGCCTAGGTTCCTCTGGCTTTTTGTCAGAGAGTAGGAGCTTGACATGAGCTGAAGAACTCATTAACATTGTAAAATAGCCTTTCCCCTTCTTTCCAAAAGCAGGTTTGCTCAAGGGTTTGGGGTGGGGGTGGGGGTTGGCCAAGGAAGGGGACTTTTGGCCAAGGAAATCCGACAGAAATATTTATTAGTAAGAAAGTCACCTGAGGAAACTTGGTTTTGCCTGTGGGCAAGTGACCCAGCTCACAGTATTTCTGTGGCCAAATACCTGCTCAAGCAGAAATATTCTCATTCCTATGTAACAGGGAGACTTTCTCATTTTCCTGAGAACATATTCATGGAAAACATAAACCAACTGTCGTCAAAGTTGTATGAAATCAGGAAATGAAGCGGCCAGGAGAAGGCTGCCATGTGGCCGGATGTTATGTATTTCTAATTAGTGCTATACATCTTTCAACAGCAAGTGTCCTTCTGCTGGGAAACACAACACACTGCCCTTGTTATTGTAACTGTCAGAGAAGTGCTTAAACAGATAATCTCCAGGAAAAGTGATAAACACGTCCCCTCTCCCACCAGTGTGTGTGCAATGGTGCTGCCAAAGCAAAGCTGTGCCTGACGGCTCCAGGATGGCAAAGCATCCTCCTGCAGGAAATGGGAGTGAGGCAGGAGGGGCAGAGAGGGAAGAGGGGAGGGGAAGAGAGGCAGGCCCACCTGCCTGGACCTCTAAGCTTAGCCAAGGGACAATGATTCAGACCAATTCCTGAGACAAGGTACCACATTTTGTAAGACAGTGAGGCAGAGAAAAACCATGCCAGTGGGATGTTTAGCTGGTCACAGAAAAATCTGGCAGCGATTGAACTAGCAGAGTTCCCTTGGTGTACTCAGCTTCTTGCAAGAGGATGAGAAGTATAATAAAGGGAAGACATGGATGAATGACACATAGTTCTGGTACCCTGACAGCAATGGGAGGGATTCAGAAAATACCAGGGTGTACTAGCCATTCTAGCATAAAAAACTGTCTGCATGGCTACTTCACTAATAGCTGGAGAAAAATGCAGGCAAGACCACTTACTCACCAATTCCCTTCCCACCATCTTCTCTCAAAGAAAGGAAATGAATGGTCAGTCACTTCTAAACCAACACCACCTGGAGGCCATTTGTTGGCTCTTATCTTTCAGACATAAGGCTGCTTTTCTCATGAGTCAGTCACCAGTCAGATGCAGGGCTGGCACCATTCCTCAGCAGCCCACCCAAAACTCCTTGTCTACAGGAAGTGAGCAGTGAGAGGATCTCTTTTGGCTGTTGCTGTTTGAGCGACAGAGTCCCCTATGGCAGCTACTGGCGGAAAAGGAGGTGAAAGGAGGCACCCAGAAACCAGCGAAGAAAAAAAATCTCAGAGCAGAAGCAGAGATGTTCATGCCCTCAAAGGTAACATTTTATTCCCTGAGGAGCTATGTGAATGTGTTAGAAGAATAAAGCACCACTATACCCAAGCAAAATATTCACTGAATATAAGGTAAACCATGATACCTCCCTGAACAGGATATAGCTAAGACAAGACAGAGGAATATGAAAAATAACATTTCCTCCTTAAGAACCCTTCTGTCATACCTGCTGGACCCTTTGGATCATCTAGGATTGTAAAATTCTGGTTTCTTCTAGACCTCTTCTGAACGTGGTGAGATGTGGGGGGAAGGGCAAAGAAAATACTAACTTAACAAAGTGACCTCTCCCATTAATTCCAAAAACACCTATTTTGATGTCCAATTATAGAAGATAGAACGGAAAACAGGATCCTGTCCTGAGAAGATAATAATCTAATAAGCAAAACAGAAGAATATATATGTACCAAATAAATATAATTCAAGAGAATATATTACATGCCATAAAGAAGACAGAAGCTAGATGCTTTCTGTTACAGAGGGAAAAGAATTCATTTCAGCTAATACCTATCAGCAAAGGTTTCATGAGACAGACCTTTTCTGAGCTGGGCTGCAAGAGGGGAACAATGACAGAATTGGCAGATACAGGAGGGATTACAGGCGACAACATGAGGGATGTGCACAAGCAGTAATTCTGCGGACCACAAAGTGCAGGGTCTTCAGTGCTGAACAGGGAAGTCCAACTTAACTCAACAGATAGTAAGGAAACCCTCAAAAGCTTCTGAATGAAATAACAGTATTTTATGAATATTAATCTAATTAAAGTGTTTAAAACATTACAGTGTTTAAAACAGGCTATCTGGAAAAGGTAACAGGGAGACTAGTTGGAAAGCTAAGAG